TTTTAGAGAGCAGATTCCTGGAGGGCCGTCAGATTCAAAAGCAGAGAGAAGACATTTACCTGGGGGGGGCGGCAGGTATCGGGAGCTGGTCTATTTTAAAAACAAGCTGGTTAAGCGGGAAAAGGGGGATACAAATTGTCTTTCCATACATTTCCATGCAGGCAGGGGGAATAATGGCAGAGGAGCGGCAGGGAAGGGGCTTTGTCATGGTTACAGGCCAGTGGCTGAGAATGTGGGTGGAGCGGCGCTCGTCCAGAGTTAGTGACCTCAGCAAATTGGAGCTCAGCCATGGTCAGTATGATAAATGATCTTATTCTGGGTCAAAGAAATGGTACCCCACAGGGAGGTATCCGCAAGGCGGCCCGGGAAAGCGCAGTGCTCTTGCAGCACTGACCCCTTAGTGACCAGTGCTGCATATATCTTATTTATTACGGACCAGAAGGGAATTTTCCATGGTTCGGCCTTTATAGGGTTCCCCTATTTCCCCGAAATAAGCTCCCAATATTGCAGCCAAGGCAAGAATATGGGTGTAATTACACCCTCTGGGTGCCCTTCGAGGCACTGTCTGCTTTGTGCAGGTTTGTATGTGGATTTTAAGGCAGGGGACATGGAGGCATCTGGTCATTGCATGTGTGTGTGTATATCTGCCAGCGACCTGTGCAGCTCCCTGGGAGCCGAAAGCTGCATGTCTGTGTCAACTGGTATTACGGTTGAGCAAAATCCTTCTGCATTTCTGCGCATTTATCAGTTCAGTGCGAGATCCTTCTAGTGCAACACCCAGCTTGGTGTTTCTTATTCGAGGTGCCTGGTTTCTCTCTGCACACAGCGAATGCCCCCCTTTGCTGAGTTATCACTGATGAATCTGTCAGGTCCAGGAGGTTTTATTGAGCTGGGAAAGATCTATGGATTTCAGCCTTGGTTTTGAGGGTGCAAATGAACCCAGGCTCTTGTTCCAGGCAGTGCTAAAATGGAGTCTTAGATGCATTTCTCTTGCAGAGGAAGCTCAGCAGATTCTTCATGAAGGAACAGTTGGGGTAATGCAGAAGATCAGGCCTTGGAGGATACGCAAGAGGACCGAGCAGACTTTGCAGTTCTGTCTGCCACAACCAGGAGTGTTTATGATGCAGCTGGGCTGAAAATGAGCCGACGCTGTTGGGTTTTTGTATGCACGCTCGCTGCAGTTTTTGCATCCTGTCCGCTTGCGTGACAAGCCAATGACTTTGTGTCACTGCAAGCACACACTTCGTTTTCCTGAGCTGTGTGTTTCGCTGGGCGATTTGTTTTATGCACGTATTGTGGATTTGAGCTCCCATCTGTGCACTTGAACTAAGCAGTTTTCTCAAACGTTTGTCGGTTTTTCTTTTTTTAATTAACTTTAGATTATTTGTCCTGAGAATTTGGAGAGGTTTGATGTACTGTTAGCACAGGAAACAGAAGCTGTCTCTGTATACAAATGAGGCAGGGATTTCCTACCATGTGCTTCAGTCCCTCCTTTGCAGTTTGAGAATATTTCAGCTTCCTTGGCCGGTTCGCTCTGGCTTCTCTGCTGATGCTGCCAATGGTGAGGACAGTTAACGATAATTAGAGCGGATTTTTTGGTGTGGATATTTGTTTGCTGTGAATGAAATGGAGTGGGCTACCGAAAGCATTTCATTGAGACTGTGCAGCAATGATAAAAATGTATCATTACTGGGTTGAGCTGGACTTGAGTTGGTGACGCAGAAGCGAAATGCTGTATCGTCTCAGCTCTCACCTGAACCTCACTCCTGGGCCAAAATGCACGGTTGCTTTTGCAGCCAAATGGCAGCACACGTAGTACAACTATGCTTCTGCAAATAGCAAATGCCTCTGTTCTGTGACGGGGGCCAGCTTGAGAGCCAACACGAGTGTAAAATTGCTGTGTTGTAGTGACGATTTAACTTGTCAGCAGATGTGGTGCCTGACCAGGTTGAGATTTTTTTCCCTCCTTATATGTCATTTGTAGAGGACCTGCTGTTTGCATAGCAAATCCTCAGCCCAGGGAGCTGGAAACCTGTTAGACCCATAGCATAGTATCAGAAAGAAAATGTCTTAGGAACGCTATGTGTGTCAACTGTAAGAGATAAGCAGTTGTGCTATAATTTACCTCTTATTATTTCCATCATGATAAGACACAGAGTCCCGAGCTGTTGATCGAGACTGCTGTTCGAGGCACTGAGCTGCAAGATGGCTTCTCCCCAGACCACTTGCAATGGAAATAATCTTGTTCCTTTTCAATATCTTACTTGTGGGAGATGGTTTTGGTGTGGCTCTGGTCATTTTTCATCCTTTATAATTGATTTGTTCTGGTAATATTGGTGTACAGAATGTAGAGACATGAAGGTGGGGGAAAAAACTCAATGCTGAGAAAGCAGCCGAAAGTATTATGTCTTAAGGTCGGCTGCGGAGAAGGGGTCTTAATTTTCATTGCGGTTTGAAGCTGGGAAGCTCCAGGCCTGCACAGGGGTATCAGTTTTTTTCCTACTGTCTAAATTCTTTGGTATCTGTGTACGTGACTTCTGGGGAGGAGTAAATGAATGTAGGCTCAGGTGGGGCTGAAAATAACATTTATTATGGAAGGAGTAGGGGTAAGGGAGTCTTCCAGCTCAGCCTCGAATAAATCAGTCCTCTCGCCCCTTCGTCCAGGCTGCTTCTAGGTGGCTGTCTTTTATCCAGCTGGTGCAGCGTGTTTCTGTTTAAATGATCTCTCCTGAAAGGTCCCAGAGGAAAGGGCTGCTTATTCCACGCAAGGAGAATGGTATATGGCACAGCTCATTGTTGTGTGCCCTGCCGCAAGTGCATAAATATGAAACAGCTTGCGGGCGTTGCTGTGGTGGGGCTGGTGTCCCTTTTGTGCCGCCCCTCCTTCTCCTGAAGGCTCCTCTCCATCTTTCTTCCTCTCCGGCTTTCATTTCTTGGTGATGGAGAGCAGGAGCCATTTAGGTGTGAGATCCTGAGGGCTTTACGTTGCAGCAGCATTTTTCAGGGGAAGGCGAATATAGTTAACTCTTGTTCTGGCGGCTGACCGACCGGCGTGGTATATATATACCTTCAGAGCAGCGCTCGCCATCCCTGGTGCACGTTGCTAGCAAAGCGGCAGAAAATAGTCTATTTTGTGCTCTTAACTACATATCATTACAGGGGAGTCGTGGGTCAGCCCCAGGCAGGTGATCCAACTCACCGGGCAGTTTTAAGGCACAAAGCAGCTCTTTTTGCCCTGATCAGAGCGATCCAGTGCTCAGAGGCAGCAATACCTGTCGTGCTCTGGGCAGCCCTGTGGTGGGACCGGTGTGCCGGGGGGCATGCTGTCATCTAGAGGCACCAATGCCCTGGGAGATGGGGGGGGGGGGAAAAGGGGATATCTCAGAGCA